CAGTTACAGGTCAGATGACAAACACATATCCTGCCTATAATCACAATCATTTTTAGACATGAATTTTTATAGCTTTTAGGGGACTTATTGCATTCCTGAGCACTGATGGTCCCAGGGGCCACAGTGCAGAACCAAGACGGACAGTGGAGGAGAGGATATTTCCCTGACGATCAGAGAGCAAGCAGACGACCGCTCACCCTCCTGTTTCCACTCCATCCACATTTCAGGTGGCCAATTCTCAATAGAGTTGTTACCTTGGAAACAGCACCTTATGTATTTATAGAGAGCGACTGACGAGACATGGAGAAAGGAGAGCTGGGAAACAAGACAAGGCCGGCAGTGGAGATTTTTCATTTAAGACATGCTGGAATTACAGGATGATTGATGAAGTCATCTGGTAATAACATTTATTTTGAAAGATCCTGCTTTGTAATTGAGTCCAGGCAGGGATGATGTTCACTGTGCTGTTTGCCATAAACTATATCCCATTTGATCTGCCATAATCTGTCTCACACTCACCATGACTATCAAATAAAGCTGACCTGAATTATTCTAATAAGATATGTAGAGCTACACTCTCCCTCCGCACTACACTGCTCTTGACCTTTTGCTGCAGCTCTCTGTGGATCCACTGAATCTCATCTTGATGTGTGACATCTTTTTTCCCTTATTTTCTAATTAATTCAATGTGAACAGCAGCATTTTCTCCCATCTCCACACAGGTCACACTTACTGGTCAGTTACTAAAATACGATAGATTGGCATAACAATCATACTGAGAAGAGGAAATGCAAATGTCTGTTGCATGGTGATTGTATGAGCATCAGTAGGTGATAATAATAGAGCAATAATAAAAAGCTGATGGGCTGCAGGGGTTTTAAAAGTCTAAGACTGTTTACATTCCCTCAAGCCTGGAAAAAAGTGACCCCTCACTCCACCTTTGTTTCTGTGCCTTTGGCTGCATCTCTGGATCATGCATGTGCATTCACGATTATGTTATTCGATCCCAGACGCTATCCCAAACATTCAACCGCAGCCTGACGTTATTGTTTGAAATGCACAAAATGAAATGTCTGACAGGCAGACAGGAGGTCAGTCTGGGCTGGGGGTGCTGAGAGAAAGTCTATGCAAAACAGCAGGAGCACAACATTTGGTGATTTAAATTGAATGGTTAACATATGTATGATTCAGACTACACTGACTGTTCTAAAATGAGATCAAACATTTTTTAAATTATTAGATCATTCTTTACTCTAGAAAATTAAATTTAAATTAGAAAAATCTCACACGTTAAAGCTTTTTTAAAAGGCTATTTTAAATCATCTTCTTTTTGATTGACTAACAACAACAGTGACAACAACGATAATAACGGGGTGTTAATGGGCCAAATGAGGTGCCGTGTTGACTGTCCAATTATATTAAACCTTGAATAAACAGGTTCCCTGGAGCTGCAGCGGAGACGCGTCAACGTAAGTGACGTCGTCGATCACGTCAGCAGCGCGTTCACTACCACGTGGACTGATGTGGAGCCTCAGTGAACTTTGAATAAACAGGTGAACAGATGTTTGTGCAGCAGCGGGGGAGCAGCAGCTTCGTGTTCCTGTGCACCGAGCGGGCTCAGTCACCGCAGGTCACTCTTACACATTCAGCAGGAAAACTACGGACACCATCACCACAGCCACATCTAGAGTCAAGAATGTTGAATGTTGACTTGTTGAGAACAGGCACTGCACGATGGCGGCCTGAAGAAGACGCGGGGTCCTCTCTGCTGCTGTCGTCCATGTCCGGGCTCAGTCTGGGGACCAAACACAGGTAGTGTTTCCTGCAGGGCTGTTTACTGAAGTGCTGTGACTGTGTGGAGACAAACACATGGTTAATGTTATGTGGTTAAATACCCTTGAACACCTCTAAATTGTAATAATATTATTAATAATAAGCAGAACACGTTTTTTTTGTCTCATTTTCTCACTAATTCACATTATTCTTGTCAAGGACCTAGTGTTCTGGATCAACTGGGGGCCAGCACTGTTATTGAGGGTATGGGGCCTGTGTATTTTCTGTAGCCAATGGTCAATCAAATTTCTAATTTATTTGTATAGCCCATATTCACAAATCACAAATTGTTGCATAACAAAGTGCGATGTCCTTACCCCATCAGTAAAATAACAGTATTTACAACAAGGATTAGAGGAAACTGTTTAATGCATGAAATTGAATTCATTTGCATTGTAGAACAAACAGTTTCAACACAGTGTCTGAGTACAGATGTCATAATACATATAAGTAAGATTGTGTTTACAGAGTAGAAGCGCATCAACTCATTTGGCATAAAAGTGTTGTTCCATATTGACAGTATGTTCTGTGTTTTACTCCAACACCGAACACAATATGAACACATAATAAACAGTGTCTGCTCCTATGTGGTTGAGTACACTGCTGTAAACCTGTTCTGCTCTAACAGGCCATGTTACATTAAGGGACCTGTGTTCTCCATCTTTCATTCTTTACCTCCTGTTTACCAGCTGCCTCTCCTCTGGAAGCTTCCCCGAGGCTTGGACAAGTGAATCCCACTGATAATCATCGAAGTAAAGACGCTGGTATGCTCGACTATATCTGAAGGTCTAATTTGATTGTAGAGACTACGGGTAGGAAATTAGATTTATTTAAATCAGAGGGCTTGGATGGAAAGAACACACCAAGATATTTGAATGTATTATTAGTCCCCTTAAAAGGCAAATAATGTGAGAAATCTTTGCTGCTCCTTCCAGATGGTTAGGCCAGGGACTGATCGTGGTTTATCTTGCTTTCTCAAATAATATTAAATTCATCAAGGATCTTGATAATGGCTGGTGTGCATTTGGATGGGTCAGTCATAATTAAATAATTTACAGACATCTCTCTCATCTCTCACATTAACCCTTCGTTGACCCCAACACGACCACTGTGATAACTACTATGACCTCCTGTGCTGGAAAGTAACTAAGTACTAACGAGAAATTTTGACCCAATAATTACGTTTGGATGATACTTACAAAGACTTATATTACTATTTATGGGCTTTTTACTTCACTGCATTTTTTAAAGAGCTTCAGCTACTTTCAGATTTATATTTTAAATGACATTAAATTAAACTTACATTAGATAAGCTTGTAAAATTCATGCATTATTAAAGATTAAACCAATGGCCCTGGAGTAGACAGTGCAACTAAGGGTTCCCTCATGTTTCAGATGTTTATGGTTTGTTAACATTTCCACCCAGATGACCCATTAAAACAAATTGTGGGGTGTGGAGTTAAAAATAAGGCAATGGACCTTTGTAGACTGTTCCTCATCTCTGCTTGACGCCGGTGCCTCTGCTGCTAATGAATCACCAGCAGTCAAGTTGCAATGTGGGTAATGTAGACATTGGGATCTGACAAGGAATGCATGGAATGAAAAAGATGGTAGCTCTGGTTCTCCTGTCTCAGTTTTGATCATTTCATATAGTGAGATAGAACAGAGGAATGACTGGTGGAGTTCTCCTGGAATTTCCCTCTGACATGGTGTCATTCAACGAAGCATTCAAAGACATAAAATTCCAAATTCTTTGACGCATCAGGAAAAGGCTGCCAACACATGTTTGCATCTAGTTTAACATAATTATAATGTTATACAAAATACTAATATGTATCATTTTCTTAATGAAAATGAGGTCTTTTTTGTTAAAATAATTCAAGTGCATTTAATGTTATTATTTCTATACTTTTTTAAATGTTTCCTACATGTAATGGAGTGATCTTGTAATCCTCTT